CACCTGGGACACACCTGGGGACAGCCCTGCCTCAGCCCCACCCGCACAGACCCCGCCCACCGCTCGTCCAGCGCCTCGATGCGCACCTGGACAGGTGAGACACGCACAGGTGAGGCTGGGACACACCTGGGACAGGTGAGGGACACACCTGGGACACACCTGGGACACACCTGGGACAGGTGAGGGTGAGAAGAGGGCCCTGAATACACCTGGGATGGGCGGGGCTTATTTCTGAACACACCTTGGGTGGGAGGGGCTTAGCTCTCAACCTGGGGTGGGCGTGGCACAGGTGAGCCCAAAACTCACCTGGGGGTGTTCAAATCGAGTTGGGGGCGGGGTTTCCCAATTGGGGGTGTGGCCTATCCCATGCCCCGCCCACAATGGCCACACCCATCCCCTTAAAGCAACAGCGCCCTTTCCCTGCCACTCTTCAGGGCGTGGCCTCCCCAGGTAACCCCACCCACCACGGGCGTGTCCCTCCCTCACCCCACCCTTTTAAACCCCGCCCACAACTGCCACACCCACCCCCTTAAAGCGACAGCGCCCTTTTCCCTTCCTGCCCCGCCCCCCCGCGGCTGACCACGCCCGTTAGTGGGCGTGGCCCCGCGGCCCCGCCCACCTCGAAGAGCTCTCCCGGGCGCAGGTGGGAGCGGCTGAAGACGAGCCCGTGGCAGTAACCGGCCACGCGCGCCGCGCCCGCGCCCTCGGCCGCCAGCGCAGTGCAGTGGTCAGTGCAATGGTCAGTGTGGTCAGTGGAGGTGGTCAGTGGTCAGGGGTGTGGTCAGTGGGTGTGGTCAGTGGGCAGGGGTGTGGTCAGTGGTCAGAGGTGTGGTCAGTGGGTGTGGTCAGTGGTCAGGGTGTGGTCAGGGGTGTGGTCAGTGGTCAGGGGTGTGGGCAGTGGGGTGGGGGACGGCAATGGGGGAGGAGTCATGGGGGAGGCACCCTCCAGTCCCTCCCAGTATAACCCAGTACAAACCAGTACAAACCAGTATAACCCAGTATAACGCAATACAAACCAGTATAACCCAGTACAAACCAGTACAAACCAGTATAACCCAGTATAACCCAGTACAAACCAGTCCCTCCAGTCCCTCCCAGTACAGCCCAGTACAAACCAGGGTATAACCCAGTACAAACCAGTACAAACCAGTATAACCCAATACAAACCAGTACAAACCAGTATAACCCAGTATAACCCAGTACAAACCAGTCCCTCCAGTCCCTCCCAGTACAGCCCAGTACAAACCAGGGTATAACCCAGTACAAACCAGTACAAACCAGTATAACCCAATACAAACCAGTACAAACCAGTATAACCCAGTCCCTCCCAGTCCCCCCCAGTGCTCCCAGTCCATACCTGGCGAAGGGGGCGGGGCTTTGTCAGGCCCCGCCCCCGGGCTCTGGCTGTTGTCGGCGGGGCCGGAGGCGCCGGTCAGCGACACCTGGACACACTGACCGTAGAGATCCACCACGGCGTACACCTCTGGGGACACGGGACACTGTCACCTGTGTCACTGTCACCTGTGTCACCTGTCACCTGTGTGTCACTGTGTGTCACTGTGTGTCACCTCAGTGTCACCTGTGTGTCACCTGTGTGTCACTGTGTGTCACCTGGACACACTGACCGTAGAGATCCACCACGGCGTACACCTCTGGGGACACGGGGACACCTCAGTGTCACTGTCACCTGTGTCACTGTCACCTGTGTGTCACTGTCACCTGTGTCACTGTGTGTCACCTGTGTGTCACCTGTGTGTCAC